GTTTGAAATTTCACAGAATGAATGGCATAACAGCAAGGATAATAGTTCAGTTTCAATAATTATTAAGTAAAAGACACTGGATAGAAAAAAAGGGGATTGGGGGAAACTAACGAAAATCACTTGGGGAGTAAAAGCAAGTGACCAATTACCAGGGTAATTGGAGGTTGACCACATGGTCAAGCTGCATGCATAAGTTAGGTTTCTCCCGCCGTATGTCGGCAGCTTCCAAATAGAGCAGGGTTCGATTTGTTCGGGCCCGAACAAGAACTCGAAACGCTGTTTTGACGTCGGAAGAATAAACGCTATCTAGTAGATGCTTGGTAATAGAGGACCGTGGTACTATGTCTTCTTACTTGAAAAGTCACTTGGACAAGTGCTCAGTGGACCTGGCTGCCAATTTCCTTTGCGTATGCCTCATTATCTAAACTAAATTAGGATCCTTGCTGTTATGCCATTCATTCTGTCCAATTTCAAAGTGTTGTGTATTCTCTTAGGTTTACAAAACTGTTAAAGGGGTTATCAAACGTGAAGTTTATAGGTTCGCCGCGCACAATTAAGAAAAATTTTTGAGCAAGGCCGTGAGTACATTTTTATTTCAAGTTTTTGTTTAAAAGTTCCATAAACTTTTGCATTGACTAATCCAATAACAACTTGTAAAATGGGCATCCCAAGAAGTAAAATTCAATGAAAGAATTTCCTTGAGAAAGGATTAGAAAATTTATCATGCTAATTTTTGACAATGGCTCATCAGGTTGTCGTCAGACGTGTTGAAAGTGCACAGAAAAGTGCAACCGCATCTAGTCTGAATTGGCGGTCGTCTTTGGCATGTTTTTTAAGACTGTTGTACACCGTTAATACACGATTAGTCGGCGTTAATGGACTCTACAAATTCACGGCCAGAAGTCTTTCGTTTTAACAGAATTCCTTGACAGATCTTGTTGCATCCCTTAACGAGGTTTTGAGGAGTTGCTTCACGAACTGGTGCTTCCTATTGTTTGAGTGTCGCGGTGGCTGCTGATATTTCCGATTTTAAAACACTGACGAAGCCGTGTATGTGTACATCGAATGTTACACTGGTTGGCAAAGGGAGCAAATGTGATCGCTGCAATAATAAATTTGTTGGCCTGAGGTTTCTTATTATCAGTTTAATCCATCATCGGAGGAGATCACAGATAAGTGTTTTTTTCACGTGGAAAAAGGGATCGGAGGGCATAAGACCCTTCTAGCTCCACTCAAGGATGGGATTGTACACAGGCCAGAGGCAACCATTAGGCGTCCATTTATGTGACCGCAAGACCCACTGCTATGACAAGAGACGTCTGAAATTGTTTACCGTGTCTTTTGCAGTTGTGGACAAAGCAAACGCGTTTGAGAAACCGAGGGACAACTTTGTACGCGAATTTCCGAGCACGCAGTAGCGGTGAGAAGGAAAGACGCCAGCTCCCAGGTTGCAACTCACTTGACGGGACCCGGCCATACCTTCAAGTTTCACGAGACCAAAATCCTCGCATGTGGTGACGAGCGGGCGATTCGAGCAGTGCTTCAGTCATAGTTCTCAGGCCCGGAGTGCATCAAAAAGCGGAACGACCTGCCTTTCCCATATTTTGCACTGAAACTTTGCTCAAGCTGGGAAATCAGTCATGTGGAAAGGACGGTTACAAGTACTTCCAGTGGCAGCAAGCCAAATTAACGCATAACTGTTAAGCCAATATCCAATACGAATGATAAAATCATGGATATCAATGAGTTGGACGCGGACTGCCAAGCTATCATTGCATGAAGTAAGACTCACTGACGTTGACCACGAGAACTGTTTATTATAGTACGCATAGGGCCAATTGACCTTTGCGGGTTTTAAATACCGCACACCTTGAGCTGCTAGGACCTTTATCTTCAGCGGTGTATAGGTGAGCGGCAGCACCAAAGTCATCAAGGCCCTAGCAGGCACATCCTGGGGCTGCGCGAAATTGACTTTGACGACCACATTCAAAGCGATGGTCAAGCCGCAGCTCACTTATGTGGCACCAATCTGGTCTCCTACAATCAGCTCCTCCAGCTTCTGGCACCTCCAGTCAGCACAGAACGCTGCCCTCCACACGATCACGGGTTGCTATAAAATGCCGCCTATCGATCATCTCCATGCAGAGGCTTCTGTCCTGCCAGTCGTTCATCACAACACACTCCTAGGCTGGCAGTTCTGGTGGACCTATATGCAATCCGGCCATTCTAATCACCACCGTCGCCATGCTTCTGAGCCCAGCCGCAACGTTCAGCCGTCTATTCCAGCTCTCTACAAGGAAGCTGTCACCTTGTCTCTCTCGGATCTATGTGTTGATAGCTCTGCCACCAAGAAAGGCTTCCAGCGTCTCCACCAAAGAGCCGTCGTCGAGGAGAAACGAGGTTACCGTCCCCCGGTCTTTTTGAGTGACTAGCCACCTCC